CACTATATAGAGCGTGGACTATATAGTGTACTTTATGGTGAACTCAGTTAACAGACCATTTGGATAGATGATCCCTTCTTTTTGCTCTCCGTTGGTTACATAACTTTGCCTCCCTGCATGGTGCCTGGGCCATCTTTGTTATTTATTGCCGCCACAACAAATCCCATGATGCTTTACAAGGAGAGCTCTCACAAAGCTTTCCAGGATTTATCTGTTCGTCTAGTGACCATAGATGATCACTACTTTTCAAGGTGCATTGTGGGACATTACGGGTCCCCTACTGTTTCATCCACTAGGCATTTGGACACTCTTATAAAATTGCATAATCAATTTATAGTGTCCTACATAGTGATTAGGGCAGACATTCGGACACAGCCACTGTTTAAACCAATGGCTCCCAACCCAGGGGCACAGGACCAACTTTCCTATATATTTTCGATGTGTCTCTGCTCTGCTTTTTCCAGCATATCTGCATCAAATAACTTAACTTCCACCGCCTGATATTATTACGCTTTTACGTCACATTTGTTTCCCCCTCAAATATCACGCTCATATCAAAGTGAAACCCAGCATATTATACCTCTTTAGAATCAAGCAATCCTGTGGAAAATTGCCAATCAACTCAAATGTAAGCCAACCATACTCTACAAAACCAATTACTAATAATTTGTCATCAACTCAGAATTCATAATTATAATATGTAATACTATAATAATATATTATATTTATAATATCAGATCCTACCTTGTTTTTCTGTTTGAGCAATCAGAAGAAAAAAAATCAGACAATGGCAAAAATGTATTCATTTTTTCCGTAGATCTAATTTGCTCAGCAGAAAAGTAATATCCAGTTGTATTCCCCCCCCAAAAAAAAAACTCAAGAGTGATAATAATCCTCCAAGGTTCTTTATTTATTTTATTTTTTTTTTACAATCAAAAAGTTAAAACTTAAGGATTAAAACATACACTATGGGTATGTTTGATTTCAAAGGCTACGTCCTACCAGTACACTATATCACTTAGCAACTGTAACAGTTGACACGAAAAGCAGGAAAATAATGAATACGGAACATCTTACGATTATTTTTATTTTTATTTCTTCTTTTTTTATTGTAAAGTGAACTCTACACTCATGAGAATACAGAGTGGAATAAAGGTGACAACCACTGGGAGCATGAACAAATAAAAACAAATATGATATAAAAGAGGTAGAAAATTATACGTAATTCTAAGCAATGTGTGTATAAAAGAATATACCATATCTGCAAAATCTCTTATATTCTAAAACAAAAAAGTACTTAGTTAAGCAAAATGTGCAAAAGCAAAAAAAAAGAAAAAAAGAAAAGACAAGCTATGCAATAGTAAATTAAGTAATCAAATAAAGTTATAAACATTGACAAATAATAATCACAACACTGAAAAAGATAAAGATTCTAAGATGTAAGGGGTAATAAAGAAAAACAGTCAGACAGAAAAGTATTGTATTTTAGAATTGGTGGTAGACATTTTCTTTAAGTAAAAAGTAAGTATATTTATTTAATTTTTAAATGTTAAGATTGTAAATTTGACCTTATAAATTATATTTGTCTGTCTTGTGCAATAATATTAAATTTCAAAGATGAGGGGGAGAGAAAATATATGTTTAAGGATTTAGAGATTAACCAGTTTTGAACTGAGGATAAAAATCTTTGGGTTTTACTACAATAATATAAAAGTTAATTCCACTTTTTCCTTACACAGACTACAGTTAGTTTAGATTTTGAGCATGAATTGGTTGAAAGAATTAATCTAATTTAGAGTTTTGAAATGAATCTCTATATTTAAGTGGAATAGCAAATGTAAGATATAAGATATTTGTTGACATTTTTCTTTAAAATATGTTTTTGCATTTTTCGTCTATTATATTGATTCCTTCAATAAATCTATTTTTAAGTTTAGGAGCTGGAATACAATAAAACTGAGGCAACCTTCGGGATGTCATTTATAATTTGTCCATATTACTGGGATGAGAATTAGGCATTATATTTATTATTTAAATAAGCCAGTGATCGTAACTCTCCCTCACTTTTCATTGCAATTCTGGGTGCTAGTAACTTATCAAAGAGCTTCAACAGCAGCTCCGATCATATTTATAGTCTCCACACTGCTGATATATTAGAATCTGAGCTTAAATGTCAGCAAAACCCATTTTCACATGGACAGATAAAAACTTTTTAATGAACCAAACATTATCCACCTCATACTCAATAACCATTAAAATAACTTTTTATTAATTTCAGACGAAACTTATCACATAACTGTATTATATTAAACTGCACTTTTAATATTCACCACTGTTCGGCGCCAAGTACCTTTTTCTTATGAGCACAGAGCAGCCCGGTTGCTACACGGGAATCATTCAAAACATTTATGAGGCACAGAAAATAGTACAGACGGACACATTAATTTTCACCAAGAGGAGAAAACATGCTTCTGTGACTTCCTGTTTCTTGCAGCTGCCAAAAACACATTTAATCTGTTTCAACAGTCAAAATTATGCAAGACCTTAAACAGTACTTTTAATGCAGGGTAAATCTTTGTGGAGACTTTAAATTTAAAATATATAAGTCTTAACCTATATTTTTGAACCAATGTGTTTTTATTACAAAATCTTTACTTGGAAACTCTTTCAAATTTTCTCACAAGGTTTCTATTTCAAAGCCCAGAGAAGTAAAAGTCGTATTTCAGAATTCAAAAATTCTTGTCTTCTTTAGGAGGAGCCAATGCAAAACAGATTAGTATGATTCCTTATATGTGTTGCAAAGCAAAATCAAGGGATCACCCTGACAAGCAAGCTACAAACAAAATTCAGCCTAAGGACTTCACAATGATTAAACCAATTAATTTGGTTATTTATCTCATTGTGTCTTATATTCCAACTGGTAAGAACATGAAGCTTTAGGAGAGGAACTAAAAGGATGCATATGTAGTAACATTAACAAGCTCTTTCCATTTTTACAGGTACTGATGGTCAAACTTTAACTCAGTCTGAACTATTGGTTAAAAGGTCTGGAGAATCCCATAGACTGACCTGTACTTTTTCTGGGTTCAGTAGCACTCCTTACATTCACTGGATCAGGCAAGCGGCTTGGGAAAGACCGCAATGGCTTAGCTGGATTAGTGATAGTGGTGGCAGCAGTGGCCTTGCTGAGTCAATAAAAAATCGGTTCACCATCTCCAGAGACAACAGCAGAAAACAGGTGTATTTACAGCTGAACAGCCTGAAAGCCGACGATTCTGCTGTTTATTACTGCGCTCGTCCACACAGTTGCAACAAAAAGCAGAGACACTGTACAAAAACTTCTGTCAACCAAACTTATCAGTTGGATCCAGGGAAATGTTGACCTTTTATTTTTTATTTTAATACATCTTAAACACTGCAGTCGGATGAGTTTTTTGTATTATTATTGTATTTGTATGGGGGATTGTTGGCCTAGTGGTTAGAGCAGTGCGCTTGCTCTCTGAGAAGGTTGCAAGTACCAGGGTCGATCCACTCAGCCTTCATTCTGGGTCCCTGAGCAAGACTCATAACCCCACACTGCTCCCCTAGGCGTCACACAATGGCAGCCCACTGCTCCCCAAAGGGATGGGTTAAATGCAGAGATACATTTCTCCAATAAGAGATCAACAAAGGTCAATTAAACTTAATCTTTGATTAATTCAAAGTGTAGCCTGAGACACTACTAATTTGTCACTCTCAAGCTTGATGGATATTGATGAAGACCCATACGCAGAGTAGTAGGAGGAAAAGCTGAGTTCTTGCAGATTTAATTTAGGAACAAATGGTTACAGAAGCACCAAGCCAAACAAACATGAAACCAAAATACATGGAGATGACAATGAGAAACACACATGAGAAGTAGATAATGAACAGAAACCAGTACTGAGGAATATGTGTATATATATAGATATATAGATATATCTATATATATATAGTGAGGAAAGTATTGTAAAGTCTAAGTATTGCTGCAGTGTTAGATCTTTACTCCAATTAAGCTCTCTTAGCCATAAAAACAACAAATGCCTCTACTGCCTGCTTTGGTTCTTAATGGCCCTACTCAGCCAATTTGCCTTGAGTTTGATAACATATATATATCTATATATATAGATAGACATATATATATATGTATCCTTGTTTATGAATAGCAAGACATTTTTCAGAGAGTTGACAAATATGATTAAGGTTAGAAGAGAACAATGTCTTTTAGACCGTCTTTTACTGGATTTTATGGGAAATAAAACAACATCATGCTTTCAACAGACATTCCTGTACAAATCTAGGTTGCCTTCTCCAGAGTTTCCTATTGCTATTATCAGCATTTATTTCTTAGGCGATTATTCAAGTTATGTCATTTTATGCTGCAGCTCAAATCTTATGGTTGTCTCTACCTACCTCTGCTGTTATAATTACAGTATTCTGCACTTCTTTATATGCTGAAAAATGAGAAACTAGTCTTTGTATTCCTTTTTGTGTTTTGTATCTTACAACATATTTATTAGCATATTTTACATGTACACTTTTGGAATTCTGTGGCCATTTACTTTGAAGTAATTTAAGAAACAGTAAGCAGGGGAATATGAAACAGCATGAAGAATGATAAGTTGAGAACAGATTTAATAAAGGTTAGATATAAAAGATTATTGACACATTGGATATTTATAGGTTCATTAGAGTTCATTGAATGATTTCTTTTGAATAAATTACTTTAAAAACAAAACTTGATTTAATTGTTAAAAAAATGCCTTTTCGGTAAAACAAGAATGTTCAACCAGAGGGCTTAAAACTGATACAGTAAAAAAATTATAAAATATTACAAATAAATTGATGATCATCATTTGAATAAAGAATGCAACTTCATTAACTGTTGTTTTTCTTTTACTTTTGCTTTCATCATCCCGTCTGAGGGTGGAGTAGGTTTTAGTACTAGGGTTTTTTACTGTGATATACTATTACGGGGGTGGCACACAGATATACACCAATACAAAAACCTCACAATAGAAACCTGAAAAAAAAAATTGTTCCGTATGCAGAGAAAAACTGATACAAAACCATGTTTATTCAAAAAACATCAGGTAAGTGTTATATGCATTTACACTGATTTGAGAAGTCACACAATAAGAGGATTAAATTATTTATTTTGAGAAGATAACACTGAGTGCAACTTCATTTAAGAGTCTGATTTAGAATCAACAAAAAGTTTATAGTAAAACAATGTACCAAGTATATCAGACTCATTAAGATTTTTAAAATGTTTTCTAGTATTGTGAATTACACAAATGAATCAATTTTTCTTGCTGGTGCTTTGGTGCTTTCAGGTTTTTGTTAAAGAAGTCAGTAGAGATGTAACACTGTGATTATGTTTTTGACTACTGGGGAGATGGAACTAAAGTTACTGTTGTTCCAGGTAAGACATTTTGAATTATTATTAAAATGCTGCTTGTCCTACTTGTCATTTAAAATATTTTATGGAAAATTTGGATTTATAGTTATATTCATAAATCTAAAAGCAACTGTTAAAGTATAAAAAAGTAATAAAATGCGGCATCATTGAAAATTCTGAATTTCAATTTATTTTAGTTTTACTCTCTGTTTGTATTTATTCTGCATTTTGGACCAAATAAAAATTGCAGTTAATAAGGAGAACCTGTTGACAGCTGAAATATGTACTAAATGTAGATTTGTTAAACATAGATGAAAAAAAAAAAATCTATATTTAAATTTAACCAAGAGAACTACTTGTTTATAACGTATACATTTTGTTACTGTAAAATATTTTCTGTTTTGCTTAGTGTTGTTTATAAAATATCCTTTGTTGTGTTTTGTCTGATCAAACAAAACAATTATTCTTTAACAAAAAAGTTTTATAAAGGGTAAAAATAGAGAGAGTAATTGAAACTGAGTTCATCAACATTCTGAAATTGGATGTATGTGGAAAAGAAAAAGTATTAATAGTGAATTACTAATTGGACTCATGTCGCTTTGAATCACTGATGATATAAGGGGTGTTTTATATTTTGTATTTTATTTTAAAAAAACTAAGATGTCTTTATAATGTAGGCTAAGTAATTATCAAAGCGGTGCCGTTCCCCTTAAATGTATAGTATAAATCTAATAGAACAGCTTAAGTGACACTTTAGTTTATAACTTTTTAGCTTAGAAGTTTCACCTAAAGGGAAAAATAAAAAAAAATATATGACATATTTCCTTAAATCAGGTACAAATTTAAAAAACTACGTAAATTTATTATTTTATTTAAAGCCTGTTTATATTTAACCCTTGGCTGTTAGAAAGTATTTTTTAGTTTATGAAAATATTTGCATCCTTCAAAACTTATAAAGGACATAAATATTAAACTCAGAGGTATATAGATTTATACAAAAGTCAAGCAGAGACAGGGTTATATAATAATGAAATTAATTTGCGTAATGTTGGATTATATTGGTTTTAGTTTAAAATTTTTATTATCACTAAATGTTGTTGCAATTATAAAATTATCTTTTTTTCAGAATAAATGAATTCTAAGTTAACGGTTATATTTTGATTTTGCATGTCTGCATCAACAAATCAGACTTTTAATTTACTATTAAGGGAAAAGTTGTTGCCATTAGCTCTCATATCATAAAGCTGAGGGTGACTTTTTTTTTGGGGACAGAAAGAAAAAAGATATCGGATTAAATATTTTCAACCACAGTAAAATGGTTCGGCCTCGAAACTTCTGCATTCTGTATATATGTTCCAGTTTATGAATTTGCTTTCCAGATTTTACCCTTGGAAAGCAACCTTAAATCAAACCCCTGGCATAAAATGGAAAGATAAAACTGTGTAAACCAAACATTCTAAGAGTAGTCATAATTTCTATTCACTTTTGCAAAGAAAAAATTATTTTAAGTTTAGAAGTAATAGATTTTCATATCTGATTATATTTGATTATTTAGTAAATAGGTAATACAATTCTGGAAAAGTCTTAGGGACATAAATTAAACAATGTTTATTTGATAACTAATTTCATGTTCAACTGAAAATCTCTTTTTCCAAATTAAATCTTGTTGTCTTCTTGCCGTCACAGGCGGCCCTGATGTCCCTCCGACTCTGTCTATTTTGAGTCCCCTGAAGGATTCTCGCTACCCCCCGAACACAGCAGATGAACTTGGTCCAGATGTCTGTCTGGTCACAGATTTCCGTCCGAAGGGGGACGACGTAAATCTGAATGTGAAAGGTGGTCAGGTCAACGTCAGCACAGATAAAGCTGTTCTGTCAAACAACACCTACGTGTTTGTTGCCTACAGCAATGCAACCATCCACTCCTGTGACATGAACGGAAAGTTCAGCAACAACGAAGCTGGTAACAAAGTTCAGTCTTTAATTCTGATTAAACATTTAATTCATAGAGCTAAAACTGTCAATTACTGAAACATGTTTCTATGATGAAATCATTTTGTTGAACATTAATTAGATATTTTTTTATCACAAGTTTCCACAGACATATCAGCAAAAAGTCCATCAGAGTTTGAGTAATTATTATGTGACTGATGTTCTTTCTGTGTCCTAACAGATGATGCATGTAGAAGCATTTATCCAGGTAAAACTGAACACTTTCTATCTCAGATTGTTTTCATCACTGATCCTTGTATTCAGGTCTTAATGTTTAGTCTGAGCTCTGTTTATTTGCCCTCCAGAAAAAGCCAAGCTGAACTTCTACCTGCTGCTGATGAACGGAGTCCGGGTGGTTTTCACCAAAGCTCTGGCCTTCAGCACCGTCCTCACCATCAGAGGTCTGCTCTTCTGAGGACAGCTTACATGGAAAAGAAAGAAAAAAAGACAGATTTAAAGTTGGACGAAAATGAAAGAAACAAAATATATATAATAAACAAATATTTTATTTTACCTCTGTACAGACATATATTTTAAGTTCAGATGATAAATGCAAAAGGAAATTTGTCATGTAAAAACCATAAAAGAAAAAAAATTATATGATTCCAACTTTGAATTTAGAAATTACTCAGTCAAAATTAAGAATATTTAAGTCTTATTTCATTTAATAAGATGATAAAAAAAAAATAAAAATAATAATCCAAATATTTGTCTATTTCTTTTGCCTTAGCTTCAGATTGGCACACAAAGTAATATGTGCCAAGTCGATAAATATTTACAAAAGAAACAAATCATATTTAGCAATGTAAACATATTTTAAACATTTAAATCTGTGTGGATATAGTTTAATACTCATTGATGACAAATCTGATGATTTTAATTTTACAGATGTTTTTTCTGATATGTGTTTATTGAAATAGAGTGTAAAATAGTTTTAAAATAATCCTCCAAGCTACTTTAGTCTTTTCATAGTACAACATCAGATTATTCTTTAGTATTTTATTCAGCTACTTTGTTTTATTAAATATGTTTCCTGTGTTACATTTTGATGAATGTTTGTATATATATATATATATATATATATATATATATATATATATATATATATATATATATATATATATATATATATATATATATATATATATATATATATATATATATATATATGTATATGTATATATATATATATATATATGTGTGTGTGTGTGTGTGTTGAAAAAAATGAAAAAATACATGAGTCTATCTAAGTCTCTGTACTCATAAACACATTTCTTTTGTCTACTGTAATGATTTTTATACATATTTTCAATATGTCTTGTCATCATGTTTTGTAAAACTTAAAGAATGTCCTGCAGCCAGTATCGATTTTTTTCTTTATTTTTTAAGGATTAAAAAAATAAAAAATAAATAAAGTTAAAAGTTAACCCTCATCCCCATTCAAAGTATTTTTTAAGAAACATGATACTTTTGTAACATGAAATAGATGATGAAGAGATATTGCAGTTAAAAAGTTACATCTAATTTCTTTAGTTTCATCAGTTTAAACCACGTTTCTACAGGAAGTTAAGGTTGGAGATGTAAATCTGACTGAAACCAAAAAGCAGCTAAGTTTTACATAAACAGGGAAGGTTTTGGTTAACCTCATCCAGCACTTTCTTCCTTTCACACAAACTTTTTACAAACTATTAAAGTGTATGTCGAACACGAGTGTGTTTCTAACTATTATAAATCAAATCCTCCTGACATGTTGATTAAAAGCTTTCTATCTAAGGCAGTGTTTCCCAACCTTTTCGACTTGTGTGCCGCTTTGGGCATTTTGTCTTGTCATGAGTACCCCATAACTCAAATGTATTGATGACTGTCCAAAAGTCGAATGTACAACAACTGAAATAAAGACTATTTTACTTGATCTTTTAATTTGAGCATTTAATTTTTTGAATTTTTTACTTTCTCTCTCAAACAAAAAAAAGACAACATAAGTATGTTGCCTGGAAGTTAGTACGGAATCTAAATAAATACAAAATTAAATCATATTAAAAACCTGTTTTTAGAAAACTGGAGTTCCTCTGAGTAACTCCCTTATTATTTATTGAATTGGGAACAAAATACAGAACAAAAATTATAGTCACACTGACTTTATCAGTTCACTTTGTTTCCATCAAGACACCTCAGTTGCTTTGATGAGCTGTGATTGCTCAGTGTGAAAAACATCAGATACCAGGCTGTTCTCTACATCAAGTCTGTTCCGGATTTTCTAAACTTTAAATATATTTAGGTGCATCTTAGGTGCAAAGGGAATAATTTGCCATTTAAGCACAACAAAAATCTAAATAAAAAATATCCTGTTATATGTCAGCATGTGAATATGTTTATGACTGAGTGCAGAGCCGGCCCGTGACCTAGGCTGTATAGACAAATGCTATGGGTGCTGCACATCCAGGGGCGCTGTGATGATGGGATTGGATAAAAAATAAAACCGGAACTTATATTTTTACTGTTATTTTCACAAAGACAATAAATACTATTATTTCTTAGTATGAAAAGAATAAGCCCACATTAACTGTACTCTAGGGCAAAGCCTTTTAAGTAGAAACTAAGAAAGCCCTCCCTTCCAACTGATTAGCATTTACCTGCTGTTTGAAAGACGGGTGTAGTCAGTGATCTCTATTGATTTACTGGATGCCATGAAAGAGAAACGTTGAGCAAAACCGTCATTTTTAAAAACAGCTTGTTTTTCTAAGGTAAAAGGAATCTCTCATCGCCTTCATTTTTTAGGGTTCTGTTGCCATAAAACTGTATTCACACCTGACAGTCAGAATATAGTTTTATGGAAACACATCATATATTCAATAAAACCCTGGACTCTGTCCAGATATGTGTTAATTTAAATCTAAATTCAGGTGTCTCTATAATTTCGGTCTGGTTGCCAATGAAAAGCAATACACATCATATCCCCAGACCCCCTAAGTAGAAAATAAGCTAAAAAAAATCCAATAATATAAGTTTTAATAACATTTAATGAACTAAACATGTATTTAAGCTTCAGAATTTCAGAATATGTTTACCTCATTAAATACTCTTTAACGAGGTAAACATATAGAGTATTTGTACGATTATTTTAACAGAGTGTTGTGACCAGTCAAGCCAGGTCGTAACACTCTGTTAAAATAATAACAAAAACTGGGGGGGACACGGAAACAAGCAGTATTTTAAGCCTGTAAAAGCCATTTATTTAGCAGAATCAAAAGAAGGAACTAAATGTCGGCATCAGACGGCAGCTCGGATGGGGCAATCACGCCTGGTCCCTCCACACCAGGAAGTCGGGTCCCCAACCTGGTCCGGACTGGACTGGATGGCTGTCTGCGGCGTGCTTGCTTCAACCAGGAAACGCGCCTCTCAAGCAGGGAACACCAACGCTCCTAGATGGAACGGCGCTCCTTTAATATCAACCAGGTGGCCGCATAATGGAAGCGTCTCCCACCTAGAGGACCTTAATTGATAGTGATAATTGATAGTGTTAAGTTAGGCAGTTAACACATATGCTCACCCGACAGCACAGCAGGGCTGTCACAAGAGAGAATGCCAGTGCTTAAAGAAAATACTGTATGAAACATACCCCAAAAGGTCATGGTATTTTAACACCAAGGCAACATAAGCATTCAATATAGAGAAATCAGATGCTTCTTTTTCTTTGCATTTTTTCCCTGATCAATGTTTATTTGTTTTCAATATTCTTAAAGAACAAAGGGGCAAAATTCATATCAGAACATGTTTTTGTCTTTATAAGGAGGAGCCAATGCAAATCAGATACAATTACTTAATATATGTTGCTGAGCAAAGTTCAAGGATTCATTCTGACAAGAAGCTGCAACCACAGACTTTAACAATTATGGGACCAATTAACTTGGTTGCTTTTCTGTTTGTGTTTTTCATTATCCATGGTAAGAACATGTAGTGAAGTCTACATAACAAAGAAGATGTTTATGTGGTTATATTAACTAGCAGTTCCCATTTTTACAGGTACTGATGGTCAAACTTTAACCCAGTCTGAATCAGTGGTTAAAAGACTTGGAGAATCTCATAAACTCACCTGCACATTCACAGGGTTCAGTAGCAATCCTTATATCAACTGGATCAAACATGCAGCAGGCAAAAGACCAGAATGGCTTGGATGGATCCATCCTGATGGTAGCACGAGTGGTTTAGTGGAGTCAGTACAAATTCGGTTCACCATCTCCAGAGACAACAGCAAATACCAGGTGGATCTGCAGCTGAACAGCTTGAAGACAGACGATTCTGCTGTTTATTATTGTGTCCGTCACGCACAGTGATACGAAGAATGAGAAACGCTGTACAAAAATAAATCATAAAAACAAAGTAAAACTGCACAATTTGAAAGGGAACTCAAAAATAAAAAAACTGGGAACAAATTTTTATATTAGATAAAGTAGAGGTCTAATGTAATGACATGACCACAGCCATTACAATTCGAATAGAAAAATATACAAAGTGAAAAAATTTAAACAAATAGAAAACACTGTGCCCTGGCTAAACAATTATTTGCTAAAACTCATGAAAAATCCAGATTTAGCTTTAAGAGCATCACTAAAATGTAAAGTTAATTCTGATTTTCTGATTTTAAAAAGTTTTGAAACAATGTTTTATCTGAGCTGATGAAATAAACAGCCACATATTATACTCATGTAATTGACAGTGCTAAAGGTAACTTTCAGTCACTTTGGAAGCATTCAAACAATTTGACTAATACATCAAATAAACACAAAATGATTACAGAACCTGATATCAATGGCAGTAGTGAAACCAATATTGCCACTGTGGCTAAAAGTGGAAAGAAAAGTTTCTTTCTTTAATATCAAAGGAAGAAACTCTTTATTAATCTTACAGTACAATTTCATTGTAGTTTTCCAGCAGTTTACTGAATTTCATCTGGTAAAATGCATTAATTAATTAATTTATTAATTTTTTTATTTCTAGGTTTGATTTTCTGTTATATGGCAAGTAATTAATTGCGTTTTACAAGATAATTAACCCATTAATTTATTGCTATCAGTGAAATGATAATGAGTTACCTGGTAATAACAGTTTAAAATTAAAAAGTCTGTTTTTTTTTTTTCTATCTGCCCAAAATTTGAACCACAGCACTTACCTGATCATAAGTTATAGTTTACTTTTTGTTCTGTTGGTAGGCGGAGGGCAATAATAGGAACGGTTCTGCATTAACCTGATGGTAATTACCCACCAAAAATATTATTACGTAGTTATATGAAATTGCAATAATTACATGCAAGTAATTACTTTGAAATGATATGCCTTAATTTTGGGGTAATTACCAAGTACAGTTCTTGTTTCTACCTAGTAATGTTGTGTAGCTTGATATGTTATTACCATATTATTACATGGATATACAGTAAAAGAAAGCTTTACCATCTATTTTATCAATTTTATCTAAAATAATTTAAAAAGTTGTTGCGACACAGCTGATGGACAACCTAGAGGCCGAGAAGCTCCTCCACCCACACCAGTATGGATTTAGACCATGCTATTCAACTAAAACAGCAAATTGCTGTTTAATTAAGGAAGCTGTAACGATTGAGAGCAGTAAGAAACCAAAACCAGGTTTACCCAGTAAAGTCATTGTTTTACCCTTTCGATAGACCCTAATTATTGGGATGACTCTAAAAAGTTTTTGTGGTTTTTGTGGTGTGTTATACAGTATGTTGTCTGGACCACACAGATGGCAAATCAGGGTAAATCCAAGAGGTTGGATTGCTTTGACCTGATATCCTAGTGTGTGATGTTCCCTGAGGACACACAATGACAGAAACCTAAGGGATTTGTAAAAGAAGTGCTGAACTAAATAGGAAATTCTGAACAATATCCAGTTAATGCTTATGATATCGGAGTAGAATATTCAATCTGTTTATAAGAAAAAATATGAAAATCACTCCAGACAAGAGGGAACAGCTCACTGAACAATTTCATCTTTTTAAAAGTGCAGCCTTG